GTCACGTGCGAGGAGTTCACTGTCTGAAGCGAAAGCTCTGGTATTATTTTTCTGCAAAATGCTTCAATTATCTCGTAAGTTACTAGTTCCTCAGCCTTTGACAATGCTTTGTRCAAGATCAATGGGCAAAATGGATCAATTCAAATGGAAACCAAACAAGAAAAAGCCCAACAAAAAACCTAAATTTTCAATCATTTTGAAAGAGAGTRTCGAAGGACTKGGCAGTCGTGGTCAAATGGTTGGCGTCGAACGAGGATATGCACGCAATTACTTAATTCCACAAGGAAAAGCAGCCTATCCAACAAGAGAAAATATCCAAAAATATCTTACTTCATCGGAAGATACTGAACTAGAAGATKCTGAAGTGAAAGTTTCAAGTCGATTTCTGCGATTCCTGGACCGACTTRWTCTTCAAGTTGAGAGAAAGGAGGGGACTGATTTTATGATAGGCGAGCAACAGTTATGTCTTGAATATCGCAGGCAGCATCAACTAGTAGTGCCACCTCATTGCATTCAAATAGATGAGCCTATGACGTCATATGGAGATTACACCATTAATGTTGCAGTAAGGGACAATGTAATCGTGCCTATGAAAGTAACTGTGAARGCCTGGGAACCAAGGATTGCAAATCGCTGGAARAGTGTATTAAATCCTGACCAGCAACAAAAAAATCTGGAGGATTAATKATAATTAAAACACTTGTTGATGCCGTAAGGGTTTGAGTGTTTGTTTTATCTAAAAAATGAAAATTGCATGTCATTAACTCCCTTAGCCAAGCGCAATAAGTGCATGCAACTGTTCATATTGTGGGAACTAGCGGTAAACTAGTGTGAGCTGCATTGGTGTTTCTAAAGAAACAGTTCTATAAAAAGATATCGTAAAAAAAATAGGTGAAGTAACTTACTGATGTTTCGGACGTTAATCCTTTGTCGGAGTAAAAGAGATGAGAATGTTCATATGACCTATYCACTCTTAGATTTCTTTAGTTTACTAAAGAAATTACTCTGCACAGGAAAATCCCTCTTTCAAAATTAGGGACAAACAGCTAATCCTCTCTTAGACATAATTATCCTCCAGATCCCAAAACAAAATCCTTTCTTGGAGTGTGTATTTGGTACCATTACTTACAAAATATTAGGGTACATTCAATCTTTCAAACCARAAAAGGRYCAGTTCTAAATARGCTGTACTGCTCTATCATGGATAATAAAAGCTTTTATTATCCATGGCTCTATCCACCAGATTATCCAGTTATCCTTTTTAAAAATCCATACAAAATCAATAAAGTRGATAACAGTATCTGGTGAGATCCATAACTTTGTTMACTAAAATGCAACCCATCCAGCTAAAAAGCTTCRCTCTTTATCAAGCTTTGCAGGATAGTCACTAGCCTATTTTACACTTGAATCAATTGCATTAAACTCATGTTAAATCTAGATATAATGCAAGTTATCTGATGAGGTACCATCATAGTCTTTGTACCTGTCAACAGCTGTCATTTACTGGAGATTGCACTTGTTGCACTTGTTCTTGTTCCACTTGTTTGTAAAGTTGAGAAAGTTGTAGTTGGAGACATCTTATAAATCGATGTTGAAAACATTGTTTTTCTGCCTTAACAGATTTTTGTGGATAATAAAAGTAGATAAATAAAAAGCAGCAAAAAAAAGTAAAAAAAAATGAAGGCGATCATTTGGCTCAGCAGTATTACAATGACAGGTGAATGCTTATTGGACAGTTGTCATACCGTTGGCGGTATTTCCAAAATGGCGGACAACAAGGTTAGGAAACCACAACAAAACATTGTAACGAAAAGACCTTATTTAAAATTATAACATCTGTCTGACGCGGTAAATATCAACAACAATGAATCGTCGGGTAATCTCTCCTACTGTTTTAAACACTTCGTCCCCCGATCACACGTTGGAGGTGATGCAAAGACGAATACAAATGGCTGAAGACGAAACGAAAAAACTTGTTGATCAACTGTCTGATTATGGATTTTCTAAAGAAAAATACGAGAAGAAAGATACAGCTTCTGGTAGAATTGATCCTATATCTCCATTTAAATCTGCTTTACCATCATCGCCACAAGTTGAAGTTTTGAAAAAGAACTATGAACAAATGGTTTCGCGTGTGTGTAGAGCAGAGAGTACGATTCAATCCATGAAGTTAGCAATGGTTAGTTTACAAGCAGAGAGAGAACTTAGCAACTTAGGTCAAGGAAACAGTGCTTCAATTCCTAAAGATGCTTATGATAATGAAATCAGAACGCTTGAGAAAGATTTGAAGCAATGTCGGAAGGAATTACAGAGTGCATTACATGAGAAAAATGAACTCAGAGAAAGTTTACAAAGAATCCAAACAAATTTAAATAAAACTGATGCGTTTAATGCCGAGGCAAAAGTAAAGCTGGAAGAATCTAAAGGCATAAAGGAGAAGCTTAATAAGAAAGTAACTGAAGTATGTGTCTCTATAGCATCTCAATGTTCAGTATTTACATTCATTTCTAATATTCAGTCACAACCATGAACTAATGCATCGATATTACCATCATCATCATCATATTTGTTACTTTCATTAACATCACTAATATTAGATCAACTTGTTACTCTTGTGCTTTCATAAAAATAACCAAATGTTTTTATATAAAATGGTCTTAGCTAAAAGAAGAACTGATGCATGAGAAGGGACTTAGAAGTAGCCTTGAGAATTCACACAACTCTTTACTGAGTAGAGTGAATGACATGGAAACACTTGTTGATACTGAGAGGAACCAGGTACARCTGTTGTCTGGGGAATGYGAAGGGCTGAAGAAGGAATGTGCTGCTACAAAGCAGAAATACAACGAGGAACACAGATTACGGATGCAGTTGGAGACAATGGCAACTCAGCTTCAGGAAGACACATGTAAATGAATATTTCTTGGTTTATTTAAGTTGGGCAAAGATCTATGTTGATTGAATTGTTRAGGGATTCATTGACTTACATATTATAAGCCAATAAATATGCATTGATTTTTTGATAGATTGACTGATTATTGGCTGGTTGAATGGTAGATTGGTTGGTTGATTGGATGGAAGAATAATTAGTTTTGGGAATGATTATCTTATATGATAATGATTAATCAATGATTAATATGAATTATTTTAATATCTTATTTAGCCAATTCAGATGCCACAATCAAAACACTTACAACTTACAAAAAGGTATTTTTAAAAATATGCAATTTCAATCAATATAAAATCAAGTCTTCTACATTACTTCCTTATAAACATATATTGCTTCTTTGATAAACAGAATTTGGAATCAGATTTACACATCGTGAAAAGAGAAAACAAAGAGTTAAGGCAACAGTTTGAATCTTTGAGAACAAGTTACGAAAAACTTAAGGTAAATATTTTAAAATTGTGTTGCTACTTTTCTCTGCCTTATGATATTTCAATATTTGGTTTCTAACTGTTGAACATAATAATATAGTCACATATTGTCATAACAACATGGCTGCATTTGAACAGAATTCACATGAAAAAGTAGCAAGTGAACATAAGAGAACTAGTGAGGAGCTACGAGCTGCTACAGTTGATAATAARGTGTTAGTAAGTCAGCAAAAAGATGCAATTCAAAGGGAAAGACAAGCAATGGCAGCCAAATTAGCAGAGAAAGACAGAACATTAGATGAAGCAAAGAATATACTTGCTAGAGAGGTTCATGAAGAAAAGGCAAAGATGCAATTGGCTGATAGAGAAAGGTTTGTTGCTTTGCTGCTTATCAATAKTATCGTAATTTKGAATGTAATMAAAAAACAAGTWTKTTTTCAGGGCAAACCTTAAAGCTGAGGTGAAAAGATTATCCGAAGAACTCCAAGCAGAAAGAAGCAAGCTACACACCAAAAAGCAAGAAGCAGTAAGMAAATATTTTAAGAATTCTTTCATATCACTTCACATTCAAGCTACCAAGCTCCTTTTCTAAYAGATTCTATAAGTCTTGGTAGTCATCTTTATACAATGAACCTGGCRCTCATCAAAGATGTGAATTTTGTGGATTATTATGCAGGGACTTAAGATGGTTGAACTTGAGGAACGAATTGACGAAGTCACTAGAGAAAGAGATACGGCGTTAAAAGAAAAATCACAGATATTGGATGAGGTGGTGTAGATGTTTTGAACTCAAGTATTGTCCAGGACCCATGATATTTTTCTTTCTTTCTTTCTATCATTGATATTATAATAAACACAGCATACTTAGTTTCCTGATTATCTTTCTGATTTATTCTCTTTTTTTTTCAAAGATTGAACAAACAGTGACTGGATTCACACAAGAAAGAGACCGAATTATTAAACAGCTTGAACAAGCACAGGTAACAGATTGATTGAGTGACCAATTGATGAACAGATTGATTGACTGATAAATGGAATGGCAACTCAATATGAATAACATGTACCCATTAAGCCATCCATGTATTTTACAGGCTGAGATAGAAACACTTCAGCAGAAGAGAGGAATCCTTRAACAAGAAAGCCAAAAGCAGTTGGACAGAATATTAGAATTGCAGAACCAACAGGTCTTTCTTTGAGTTAAAATTCAAATTACAGATAGAGGTCAAACACTCTGTGAGATGTTGAATATTATAGTAAACTTTAGCTATAAGTACAGTTGAATTACATTGAATATATTGAATGCAATAATTGCCTTTCTAGTGCATTAGTTACCTTGACTCGTGTAAAGGTTATTCTAGACTGTATTGTATTTATCATTCAATGTTCTTTCCTTTTTCTTTGCCTTCAGAGAAGTCAACAACAGATTGAGGACACAATGAAAGATATGATGGAAACCAAAAATAAATTGGCTTATGAGAAAGGCACCTTGCAGGTAGAATGATGATAAGAAAAAAAAAACAATGGTTTATGTCAATCAGTTTATATATGGGTGTTTTCTGTCCAATTATTCTTCCATTCTTTCATTCATTTAATCATCCATTCTTTCATCTATTCATTCATTCACATGTTTAAGTACTATTCATACATCCATTCATCTCACATTTCATCCATTGATCCTTTCATTTGTCCATCTATTCATTCACTTGTTCAAATGCATTTTTTCATTCATTCATGTTTTCATACACTGCAATTCATTAGCTTTATACAATCAGCATTCTCTCTAGCTAAGAGGTGAATTCTGTTATAGTCTAGAGTGGAGCAACTCCAGAAAGAAGTGTCCAAGTCTGATAATTTTAAGGTAATATAATTTGAAAGACTTAAGCATTGATGAATATATTGACCTTTGGAATACAACATCAAAAAACCCAAAGCCTTTGTATTCCTTGTGCASTAGAAACCAGTGAAAGTTAAATGTAAGGATGTAKTTTTTATGGCTTTTGTACGCACAGATGCAACTTGAGCAAGTCAAGAGAGAAAACACTGGAATGCAGAATTCATATAACAAGGCAAGAAATCAAAACTAATCTGCATCTTTGAAAATGAAGTAAAACAGAAAAAGTACTAATAGATAAAGTTTGTATCCAGGTTTCCTCTGAACTTCAAAAGTACAAGCTGGAAGTGCAGACTCTCCAAGGCCAACTCAGAGAGGTATAAACTAGCCACAGTTTTCATCAAACAATGTTAAATAATATTTCAATATTGTTAGAGACTCAAGAAGTGTTTTCTGTAAACCCTAATGGTTTCAGGGTCAATTGAGAATTGACAGCAGAGATGAAGACCTCAGGACAGTCATGTCGTCTCGTGAAGAAGCTTTACGAGAAGTAGAAAAGTTGGTGCATCACACAGAGTCTATGGAACGAAACAACAGACAAAAGGTTGGTCCTGACTGTAAGGAAATACAACTGTGCTCTTCATTAAGGCTTAATAATCACACTAATTCACAATATTGAATTTTACAGATGGAAGTAATGCAGAAATCATTCAATGAGGCTCGTGCAAATAACGTAAAGCTTTCTTCAACAATGGACAGCTTAATGGCATCTCACAGCGAACTACAAGAAACACTGGAGAGAATGCAAACTGAACTAGGTAGACGAGATGTGGAATTAAAGGCAACACTTCGTGAAAAGTAAGTGCTTTGTGTTCATCATAGTCCATGGTCAGAATTCAATTTCAGAATTCAGCCTTTCTTTTCAAAACTTTGAGGTGCCAGTACCACAAGTTGTTTGGACGACACTTGATGAAAGCGTTTGCAATTTAGTGCGAAGTTGTAAGACGAGTTTGCGTCATCTAAAATCGACAGAATTGAGACCAAACAATCATTCTTTCGAGAAATTCAAAAAAAAAAAATTGAAAACAGCTTTCTTTTGACTTTTTATTTTGCAAAGAAAACTCCTTAAGTTTCCTGGGACTTCCTTTATAGTGTACTGAAAGAGGGGACTGAGAATGAGAAAATAAAGAGGAATCTGAGTGGTTGTTTAATCTTCATCATCTTCATCATCAGTTTCAGGGTTTACAATATCGTAAAAAAATCCCACAAAGGAGACTTTTGCAGCCTCCATTCTGAGCACCCACATAAAGTAAATGACAGTGAAAATATCTGTAATTATAGGGCATGCCTTATCACAGTCCTTCATGCTTTCATTGATGCATTCTTGCAGTAGTTTGGTGATTGGTTGGAATTTCTCAGTAAATGTTTGTCTCTCATCATCGCTGGGTTCTCCAGCATATTCTTTTGTCTCCAATATTTCTATCATAAAATTCCCTGGGCTTTCAAACTTAAATGATATGTCAAAACCTCCATCTCTTTCAATTAAGTTTCCTTCAATTGCCATAGCTTTTCCTCCATTGAGCATAAACTTCGCATAGCTGTCAACTTTCTTGTCTGCTGCTATTGTAGAAGTGCATGATAGGATTCTTGTTCGAGTAAAAAGATCAAGCATAATTTCTTGGGAAAACTTTCTAAAATCATAATTACTTAAAATATCATAGAATANGTTTTGCAGCCACAGGCCCACAAGTATCCCACACATCTTGAACTTCATGAAGTTTACTTTCAATACTTTCGGAACACTTGGACGCGTTTTGGAGCAAATTCTTAAGCTCAGTCAGCTCTTCTAAACTATTATCAATTTTAAATCGACAATTGAAGACAATAAAATTCTTTAAGTAGAATTCAGCCTTCGTTTTCAAAACTTTGAGGTGCCAATACCGAGCATTGCTTGACGACACTTGATGAAAATGCTTGCACGTTAACGTAAAGCTGTAAAACGAGTTTGAGTCGTCTAAAGTCGATAAAAGTCTGACCAAACAATCTTCGTTTAGTTCGAGAATTGTTAAAGATGCCATTTTACGGTCGAAGCTGGACTCCCACTGTTTTTTCTGGGTGTTGGTTCATTCTGAATTGTCAAAAAGTGATAGACGTTACTTACGTAATCACAGGAATCCCACAATGAAAGTTTCGCAAAATTTTAAAAAAGGGATATTAGAGTACAAACACTAAAACTGTGCAACATAAATAMSACTAAATAATGCTAAATTATTTTTGTTTTCTATTGTTTAATTAATACTATTTTGTAGTAWATAGTGGAAAGTGTTGCACACATTTAATGTTTGTACTCTATTCACATTATAGCTGTGATTATCATGTTATTGTCGACAATTGATTGTAATATTCTTTTAGAAATTCATACCAAGAAGCTGCCCGGCGTCTTCAAGCTGAAATGGAATCCCTTCAAAACAAAGTCGACTGCTTGGAAAACAACGAAGTACGCGAGGTATAAAACTGATTATGATAATCATAATGATGATAGCTTTTTGTTATATTTTGTTTCTTTGTATGTTTTCATTTTTGTTTTTTTCTTTGTTATTTCTTACCAATGGTCATTTTGTTCTGAACTTATTTTCAAAATGATTTGTCTTTTCGCAGCTGCGTCCTCTACGAGAAGCCTTGAAAACTGCTAAAGAAGAAATACGAGAAGTCACCCAACAGCTAGAACGTGTGATGAAAGCCAATAAAAAACTACAAAACACAGCAGAACAGCTCCAAATGGAACTTGGAAGAAAAGATGTGGAACTTGAAAAACTTCAAAAAGAGAAGTAAGAAAGGATGACTGAATGGATGGATGGAAGAGAGAGGGAAGGGAGGAGGAGGGGGGATGAATAATTAATATGAAGTATTTGGATTAATCATTTTATCATATAATCATCTATGAAATACCTATATTTCTCCATTTCGTAAAGTTGATATTTTCACTAGTGAAAATAGCACGAAAAGGTATTTTACGACATAATTTGTTTTCATATTTTTAAATATTAAAATTAAAATTATATGATAAAGAGAATATTACGTGGTCGCTTTGAGATACGAATTTTATCTTCGAGTGTTGAAAAGATCTCACGAGTGAGCGTACCTTTATATCTACTTCATAATATGTTATAACCTAACTGTTTAAACATGACTATCAAAACATTATAACCCAGAAATCAACTGAAAAATATCTCAGTGTTCCCGAYTATGCAACACTGAAGATAAGACTGACAGATRWCATTCTCACCCAGGCAAAAAGAGAACAAGGACAGACATTCAGAAGTCGAAGAGCTGCAAGACAGACTAGATGAGCTGTCCAGAAARGCGCACGACGAGATAGAAGACGTCAGAATCAARCACAAGAATCAAACGTTGAAGGTACTAGTAAGAGCTGTGCTGGAGCTTGGAAGATGTTTTGAAAACCGTCATTTGTGACGGCATTTCAAATAGCGCGACGTTTTCACATAGAAAATAGTAAAGAGCATTGAAAGAGTCCACGTCTAAATAGTATTACGCTTGTCAAATAAGAATGTGAATGTATGTTCCTTCGTTTCGACAGTTGAAGAAAGAGCTCGAGGAGGTCATTTCAACGTGTTCCACTCTAAGAGAAGAAAATCACAGCTTTGATAATCGCGTCAAGGAGCAGGAGCAAGAGCTAGAGAAGGCAAAAACTAGAATCAAAGGTCTTAAAACACAGCTTTCACAAGCAAAAAAGCAACAGGATGTGAAAGAAGGCGAAGAAGAGGCAGCAAAATCCAAGATGGAGGTGAATAGAATCATAATGGATGAATAGATAAGTGGAATGAATAATGGAGCGATGAGAGATAACGAATGTACAAATGACATCATGTTTGTTTCKGCGAAGTGCATCATGGTACAWTGATAAATGTAACAAAATGGCGGATGTCTTGTATTAAAAACCAGGAAGGACGAGGTTTCTTCGATAGACTAWCGATGAAGGATTTGAAAAAGATCATTAGATAAGATGTCTGCACACTAGACTATACCAAAAGACTTTTCTRGAAACAAGTAATGCTTATTTTTTGCGCTGAAACCTCAAGAGCTTGCATTTTCGTCGATCCCATAGTGCATTTCGCCGACCTCATTTTGAGGAAGAACTTTGTAATAATAATTGACATGCCGTGTTTTAGAATTTCAAGACGGAGTTAAATCGACTTGAGAAGGTCAAATCAGACTATGTAAGAAAGAACAAGGAACAGGTATTTAAAATGACAATAAAAAGCAATAATAATGTTAAGAGTTGCGGCGGAGGGATTAATAAACAAGCGAAGATTTCATTTTTCTTATTTCAAAGTGACCTTGCTTTTTCAGTCCAAAACGATTGAGGAGTTCGTTTCCAAGGTTACCGTCCTTCAGCACGAAATGACGTCATTAATTAACGCACATAAAGAAGCTGCCCTGGCTTGCAAGTAAGAATGAAAAATAAATGAAACGTAAATAAATACAACCACAAGTAATCACTTCACTATAAGACCTATGTATAACAACCTATTGTATTTCACGGATTTATGGCGTGAGATCTTAACTGTTTTTTCTTATTTTTATAATAGAGAGAAGGATAAACAACTCGAGAGAGAACGAAACACGAGAAAAGACCTTGAAAGACGTTTGAAGGTTTGTCGCCATTGCGTGGTCCCTCTCTTTCACTTTTRCTTACTTTAATTTGCTATCCTTCTTTTTAGAAAGCGCTTTCTCGTGAAAAAGAGTTAGAAACTGCAAAGGAAGAAACTGAACARAAGCTAGAGTWTGCCAATAATGAAAGTGAACATGTAAGCAAAGAATTCTCCGAACTTTTGTGGTTTACTTCGTTATATAGCCAGTGTATTTACTGCTTCATTTACACTTCCTACCTCTATATTCTTTGATTTCTAGTTTGTTGCGTCGRTTCTCATTGTTAGTGTATGGTTATTCTTCACTATATCTTTAGGTATCAGAGAGTCTCAAAGAAGCGCATATATGGTTTAGAAGTAAATTCGACGATCTTCAAGCTGAGCTTGCTCGGTCAAAGTATGTCTTGTTGACTGCGTTAAGCTCACTTGCTTTTCTCCCAATTTCAGTAAATTGCCGTTGACTGATTGCTCCTCTGCGACTTATATTTTAATAGAAAACTTCAAAGTGCATTGGAGAGGGAAAACAGGGAACAACAGAAGAAACTTAAGGCAGATCGCAGGCAGTTGGATGAACAGACACAGAAAGCAAGACAAGTTTTACGAGTAAGTTGGCCATTCTTACAACGTAAAATTTATCCTAACTACCATAATCATTCACCATCCATTCAACTTGGTTCCTAGTCCCTTTTTCCAAAYTAAGGGAAAAAGACCTGGGAACGATCCATTTGACAATCCATTCATTTAACAGAACAGTCGAAATGCTGTCAGTCAACTAGCTGGCGAGGTAGCTGAAAACCTGTGGGAGACCAAAGGAATGAAACACGCCTTACAAGCCGAGAGAGACTACAGCAGCATGACATCACACAAACTACAACAGCTACAGGTAAGGGGACTGGGACAAAGCTCCCCACATCATCTCGAGCCCAGAGTCTTCACTGCTATTGTCAGCGGTATGCTTTGACACCCGCTGGATGGCAAAAGTGCGGGCTTTGGGTACAAGATTGCAATTGCTTTTGATTGATAACTGTCAATTATGTAATACTATAATGACATGTTCATTTATAGGATTCGACAGCCCGTCAAATGGAAGATTTAGCGTTTGAAGTCAACAAACTAAGAGAGTCGACAAGATAGCSATTGGAATTCCTGTGTTATCTCCGAGAGGACTGGAACCTAATCGAAGAATAGACACAGGGATACAATATGCCCAGGCGGCTCTACATGACATCATATGTAGATAAACTAGAGTCTGTTAATAGAGATTTTTATAAAGTATTCGTGTAATGTATAAACGAACAAGATGTATTTATTAAAACAGTTGAAACAAAACTCGTACATTGCAATATGATTTTGTTTGGGTCCTAGTCCGACGAAAGTCAACTATTATTGGAATCATTTTTTCAACATTTTCAGTTTTATTAATCGGTAAAAAGGGCACTAGTTTTCTAGTTATATATACAAGTCGAATATTCAACAAAATTCTATAAAAGGAGATCACTAATATATGACCTTTAGGAGATATTATACAAGATTATCAAACTATTAATTCTATAAATAATTCCCTGTTCAAAGTCGCTGATAGGCAATGCTTTCTGGGGACCCACCCAGCATTAATCGCCCTGGTTCGTGCATTAAGTCGACGATGTACATCTTGGGAGGCAAAACCGGACCTCCATCCTGAAACAACAARGTATGGTTGACTTAAAAAGACGACAATATGTGCAGAGGATAGAGCCAAGCGCTTGGAGAACCATCCTCAGAAACCAAGCCCTTGAGTTAGGATGGCCGGGAGCTATCTATATTGATCTTTGGGATTTTCCATTTCAGATTGTTTATCTTTGTGCATCATATTTTACCATAATGCAATTGAAGTCAGGCCATTGCGATATAAGAGGAGTAGGGAATAGATCTCTTCCAATATGCATGGTCGTTTTAAGAAATACCGCAGGCGCGCACTAAAACGAGGTTTCTCAGTGTACTAAGCATTGCGAGCCTCGCTATTATGCTGAATATTTGTCCCCAAATCATCCCTTTTATGTGCGCCTGCGATATTTTTGAAAGCGCACTCCCATCCATGTATTAAAGATGCGCACAGCAGAAGTACCTTAGTATCCTCGCAGAGCATGACCTCGTTCCAGGCTCTATTGTAGTCTCCACGGACAAGAGAACACCCTACAGCAATACGATCAGCAAGAGCCTGGAAATGAATCGTAGGCAGTCGTTAAGATAGACAGCAATTGGTGGTCGCAGTAGGATGTTAATCGCTCGTGATATGGAGGTAATAGAGAACGAACTGTACRTAAAAATACCCTCATTAACTCGACCAACAGTACACTAGGGAATCTACACATGCGGTCGGTTTTAGATATCTTAGGTGGTCGATAATGGAGGTTTTATAAAGGGTTTACTTACTTTAAAAAGCAACGCTCTGTGGTAGAAAATACCCGTTGTAATCCGACCAATAGGGACGATATTAGACTGAAGTTCGACCTTGAGTTGACTGATRGGCAGCTCGTAACTAAAGGACGACAATGCGTCACGTTCTACAGGRCCTCCCATCTTATCGCTGACGAACCTGAAAACAAAGAAAGAACGATTCCTGTAATCGCCGTAGCATAAGGAACTGCGTAATACTTATCGGGGAAAAATGAGCCAAAAAAATCAAAAAAATTTATTAGTACCCACTCGCAAACGAATTAAATTACGCTCTGCCTAAAGATAACAAAAATCGCAATTTTCCAGCAATTACAACTGTTTCCAAACAACTGCCGTCTCAATGCTTGATCCAGTAATGAAAGTATCCCAGTTTACCTTGCCAGCGCAACCACCTGATCACTTGAGCTGAGTAAGGGTTGGATGGTAGCTTTGACTTCCTCAATGTAACCGTGGAAGATTGGATCCCAGGGAGGATACCAAGGAGGAGGGGCTGGGGGCGAGGCGGAGGTTTCTGGTGGTACCTCCTCTTCTTTAGATTTTTGTTCTTCTTTTTCGACGCGYATGGTACGACTTTTACTGAAAGAAAAATATCCCGACCTATGTTAATAGACAATTTACGATATGCACGGATGGCTTTCAAAGATTTTGCAGACGCATGTGTGAAAACGAGGCGAGTTTCAGGACACTACATTACCTCGTTTTCATGCGCGTATCCCACAATCTGGGAAATCGTCTGTTTCCATATAGTAGTCAATATACTTAGTAATCCATTCTTTACCTTTTCAGATTTGTTTTGCTTTTTCCGCCRACTATCTTTTCAGGCTGAATCACTTTCTCTGGTTGGACAATGGTCGGTAAAGGTGTAGATGGCGCTCTGGAAATTAAACAAATAAACTTATCAYTGAAAGAAAAGATCGAAGTACTTCTAATAAACTAGGAATAACTCGCCGACAGACTCCAGTATGACTCTGTTATTTCCTTACGCTTTTCCATTGATGCAACGCGCGCCACTTAAATCAGCGAGGGAGGCGCTCGGTAACACAGGAATCCCGTTCCCTCACCTTTCACGATCTTTAGAGTTAACCAGAAGGATTGGTCGGTGCTCGTTGACTGGTTGTTTAAACATCTCCTCGAGTGTTAAAAATCGGACTTCGGGTTTCATCTAGAAACAGTCAAAATAAGAAAGGCATGAAGGATGAAATGATTACAGCATTATCCTGACCTGACTTCGTTGATTCGATTAAAACATTGTTCAAACTTGCGCGCGCAAGGATAAACGGGGTTCAGTCGTGGACTACATTTTCTGTCACGTGATAATTCCAAAAACGGAGAGCGTAACCGCTGTACTCACCGGCCCTGCATCGTAGAACTCGTCTTGTATTATGTTGTTTGACGTCAGGCTGCCTGTCAACGCGTACTTGGCGGGTAAGTTACTATCAAGGAGAGTTTCCATGGCAACTGAGGCGAACCCTGACTGCCGAGTGGAAGAGACTGATATCTCGCCCAGGACTTCAAGACCCCTTGATATCAAACATAAAAAAGAATGTGATATAAGTATTCATAGACTACTGCTGTTAATAGATACCACGATGCATAAAACATTTTAAAAATTTTATCATTGAAAGTGATTTGATTTAACAATAAATGTTGTGCAATCTCTTAGGGGTGAAAAAAATCAGTCAGACACGCCCTTTTTTGTCAAGACTTCCGGGATCTTTTAGGGGTCTTTTCGAAAATTTCCCAACCACGAGCATTTCCACGAGCATCCCCGCCCCCAACCCGGCAGACACTCACCCCAGTCGACATATTTCTGTTGCTGTCGGYAGATCATTAGCACATTGCAGGATAGCCCATGATGCACTTCGCCGCACTTCATCGTTATTGGAACGCAATAGTTCAATAAGCCTTGGTATTCCACTCTCTGCTCGAAACTATTGAAGAAGAGTGCATTCATTATATCCAGGAACCATTTGGTAAGAAATTGCAAGAAATGCAAAGGATTTTTTTCCTAATTTGCGCAATTTTGTTATCAAGCTATTCACAGATATTGTGACTGTTTGATGGCATAAATCGTGCCCGGGGACGACGGACGGATTGAAAAATGACCCTAAAAGGTACGCATAAATCAATTCAGGTATCGATTCCAGACCCTAAAAGGTACGACCACACTTTAGTCACTTGAGACCGATTTTGACGTCTTTAACAAGAGAAAAGCTCAAGTTTAACAAACTGTAGAAAATCAATGTCGATAGATTGTTGAGGTTAATAAAATCTATTTCTTTATTGACATTTCTTCAATTTTTTTCCGTTCTTCGAAAATTGACCCTAAAAGGTACGGAGTCAGCTTAGGACCCCTTTTACGTTTTATAAGGAAGTCCCCCCCCCCTCCCGCCCGGGAAATTGTGACAGGAGCAAAACATCTTCATTACAAAGTTGGAATGAATCACTTACTTCGTTTCTTGACTCTGCATCGCCTACAAAAGCAGCAACTGCCATGGCTACTTTACTCTGTACCACTGCAGCACTAGGAATAATAGTAGGAATGAATAAATGAACAAGTGGAGGGATGAATGAACAAATGAATGAAAGGATGAAAGGATGAAGAGATGAATGGATGGATGAATAAATAATTGGATCAATGAATGGGATAATGGAGGCTAATTGAAGAATRAATGAATAAGAAAGAAAATAATGAAAGACTTGAATGCATAGATTATGAATGAATCAATATCCAATAAAATGATATTTKCTTACTTAGACTGCAGAGCTTGAACAAGAGCAGGTATAATACCCCGTTGTTGAGCTTCCATCCTCCAATATTCTAATAATCATTGCATAATTAAAACAAACGAAAATGGGAAATGAAAGGGAATTTAGATGAAAGACATCTAGTCTATTATTACCATCAGCAGAGAGATTTGTCAAGCAGACAGCAGCATTTGATTGTACAGGWATCTTGCTGTCAATGAGCAAMCCAATCAAAGGATCTATACCACCTTTCTCAACAACCAAACTATAAAACAACAACAGCAATTCAACTATAAGTAATATTACAAGAATAAAACTTCAAAACAGTATCATAGTACAGTATCATAGTTTACCTAGTGCGATAGTGTACCGTGTGCGGTACAGTATCACAGTCTACCTAGTACGATAGTGTACCGAGTACGGTACAGTGTCATAGTCTACTTAGTGTAATAGTGTACCGTGTGCGGTAAAGTATCATAGTCTACCTAGTGCAAGAGTGTACCGTGTGCGGTACAGTATCATAGTCTAGCTAGTGCGAAAAATGTACCGAGTATGGTGCAGTATCATAGTCTAGCTAGTGCAAGAGTGTACCGTGTGCGGTACAAGTATCATAGTCTAGCTAGTGCGAAAAATGTACCGAGTACGGTACAGTATCATAGTCTACCTAGTGCGATAGTGTACCAAGTTTGGTACAGTATCATAGTCTACCTAGTGCGATATTGTATCTAGTGCAGTACAGTATCATAGTCTACCTAGTGTGATATTGTATCTAGTGAAGTACAGTATCGTAGACATTGCCAAGTGCTGGTGTTTTATACATGTTGCAGTTTATCAAAATACAATGTTCAAAATACCTGCAGTTATTCTGGTTTGACGTTGTGATATTTGCCAAAGCAAGAGTTGCTGCTTCCCGCACCTCAGGTGACTCGTTACTCAATAAGTTGATAAGAGGTTGTACACCATCTGATGTTACAATAAAGAAAACCAACTTAGCAAAGTTTATTACCTCATTTAAAATTTCTAATCCAGTTAAAATTATGTTATGTTTTCATTTTGATGTTGTTCCATTGTCCAAGTTCACTAGTGTTGTACACTATTTAGTGCTAACCTCTACAGTAAATAAAGTTGTTGTCAACCATCATCATCATCATCATCATCATCATCATTATTATTATCATTGCATACCAAGCTTCCCAATGGTTTCTCTGCTGCTAAGGTTTTCAGATATCACTGCTAATGCTGTTGCCAGAGACATCTGTAAGCCTGGGTTCTGAGATTAAAAAACATACAATGTTACCTTGTAGTCTCTCGGTATTTATTAATCCATCATTTAGCAAAAAACATATTATTATCATGGATGCACAAGTTAACATAACTTATAATACCCTAGTAAACTATTCATGATTTGAAGTTTGCATAAATCACACAGCATTGCACACAACGTTATGTAGTGTTATAAACAAGATAATATTTGCTTACAAATAGATGACACTCACATCAGTTGTCAGTAATGATATCAGAGTCTTCTCGCACTCCTGCTCATGAAGGATTTTTCTGTTTTCACCTGCCAAAGAAAACATTTAATAGTTATCATATCAAGAGAATAAACAGTGCATAACAGCAATATTTTAGCATCAAAAGTTAGGACTGGTTTTGAGATTGTCATGTAATTTATGATCTTTATTATGGTAATTTATGTTTTGACTTACTATTTTTTGCAGCTAATGCAATCGCCTTGGCCTAAAAAACAAAAGAAACACCAAAAAAGGAAATGTAAATCTTCACAAAGAAGCTAATATTGTGTGTACAAGCTACATATTGTAAATAATCTAAGATATAAATAATAAAGTTAATAATCATTAAAAGTAACTTCTTACCGCATGTTGTTGAACTTCAGGGATTTGAGATTCACCAACAAAKGCTAAAAGTTTCTGCAAAGCACCTGATGTCTGGATGACCTATGGAAGATATTGTCCTCATTATTGGATGCTGATATACATATATGTASTATATTTCAATATACATTCACCACTAGCTGTTTTTGGTATTTCTTGGAACTATTTTTTACCTGCATGCTTTCCACATCTTGTAAACAGTTGGAGAGAACCTTCAGAGCATGAACATGTAGGTCGTCAAATTCCTGGAAAATCAATGTCATGTTGTTACCATGACTACTAAGAAAGAGTATATCTACTAGGAACTGGTTCATATTGTCATCATCATCATCATTATCATTGCCATCATCATCATCATTATTATTATTGTCATCATCATTGTTGTCCCATGCCTAACTGAGGCCCCTCGCTCTCACCTTATTCCCCACGAAGTCAACCAGTTTTTCAAGGCCTTCAAGATCACGAAGAGCTGTTCGGTTCTCAGCTGAAAATATCATTATATTATTGATATATATTTATCATAATATTTATCATGATTGTCACAAACTATCTAAACTGACATACCATCCACTGTAATATGAGCCAGACTCTCCAAGGCAAGCTGTTGTATTATAGCATACTCAGAGCTGAACAGGTTGAGTAAAGGTGAAATCCCTTGAAAGATTGATATATGCCATGATCAATATTATCATTAAATGGATGGGAAGATGGACGGACAGACGGTTGTCCTTACCATTTAGCTCTCTGATGGCTGATCTACTATGATGGTCTTGAACAAGATGACAAATAGACTCCACTGCATTTTTCTATAGAAAGGACTTTAAATTATTGATTGATGGATATAATGAAAAACTGGTTGCTTGTCTGATTAGCTTGATGGACTGACTGAATGATTGATTGATTGACTGACAGACTGACTGATTGATTCATTGACTGATTGATTGATTGTCTGATAAACTTGATTGAGTGACTCAATGATTGGTTGATTGACTGCTGACTGAATCTGATTGATTTTGTTACATTCAAAATTACCTGGACATCACAGTCAGGTGATGCTAACAGCCTTATTAAAGGTTCCAGTCCCCCTTGTTCAAATATCTCAATTTTGCTTGAGAAATCCGCTGACATGTTGGCAAGTGCTAAGGTTGCAAACTCATGACAAAGGACATCCTCTGAAGAGGGAGGGAGATAGAAAGAGATTGATTGGTATGTGCAATGGAAAAATTGACGGACAAAGTCTAAGGTTTACAGTGAATGAATGGATGGAAAGATGAATGAATGGATGGATATATGGATGGATGGATGAATGGAATGATGGAAGGATATCA